ATGAGCACAGTTGTTCTGGAATATTCATTCTCCACAATGTTGTCCATAGCTTGTCATGATCCACACAGTCAAAAGCATTTGTGTAGTCATATAAAGCACAGTTAAATATCTTTCTGGTATTTTCTGCTTTCAGCCAAGATCTATCTGGCACCAACTATAATATCCTTCATTCCATGCCCTCTTATGAGTCTGGCTTTAACATCAGTGAGTCAATATAAGATTGCAGTGGATTTTGTATTATCTTTAGCAAAATTTTACTTGCATGGAATACAAATGATATTATCTCACGATTTCTGCACTCCACTGGGTCACCTCTTTTTGGAACAGGCACAAATATGGATGGATCTCTTCCAGCCAAATTGATAGGTGGATGTCTTCTTTAAATTTCTTGGCATATATGAATGAGTGCCTTCAGTGCTTCATCAGCTTGTGGATGAGCCTTTAATTTGTTTGCCCAAATTTGAACTTCATATATATATATATATATTCCTGGTGTGGCGCTGTGGGCTAATGTGTCAGACTGCAAAGTCGTTTGAACTGTGAGGTCAGTGGTTCAAACTCACCAGCTGCTCTTTGGAAACCCTATACAGGGTTGCTATGGGTCAACTCAATGGCACTTAACAAAAACAACAGCAACATATGTATGTATCTTCCCCAAAGGCATTTGAGGCAGTAAATCTTGAAGATTTCATTTTCATCAATTTTTCTTTCTACAGAGAACATTGCCCCTCACATTGATATATGTAATATGTCTCATATTTTATTTGGGCAGGGTACAAGACTGCTTAATGGGTTTAGGGTAGGTCAAGAAAGGATTAAGACTGATTCTTCTTTTTCTGACAAAAGTAACAACTCCACTCCATAACATTTAGACATGGAAATCCAAGGGTCAGTGAAATGGATTTGCTAGGAGTTCCCATCTCCAGTGATATAGTGTCCCTAACAAGAAATGTGGAATTCTAAATTCCTGTACCTGTAACTATGACCTTGTTTGAAAATTGTTGTTGTTGTTGTCAAGTGCCATTGAGTTTGTTCCGACTCATAGCAACCCTCTAAAGGGTTTCTGAAAAGCAGCTGGTATACCTGAACTGCCAATTCTGTGGTTCAAACTGACTTTGCAGTCCAGCAAATTAATCAACAGTGCCACACCAGGACTCAGTTTGAAAATTAGGGCTTTCTTTTGTCATGCTATTGATAACAGAGAAGTGTAGGCCCTAAACCTGAAAATTGTAAGTGATGGCTTATACAAAAAAGAAAAGCAAAAACCAGAAACTCAGGAAACCAATGCCTTATGAGGACCAACACACATAGCAGGCCCACACATCCAGCAATAGCTCAGATTACCTGCAGCTACAAGAATCTGAAATAGACTAAGGATCTTATTTTAGAGTTGATGCACCAAATTTAGATTTTAATCTCCTGAATTGTGAGGGAAAAAAATGTCTTTTCTTTAAAGCCACCCACTTGTGGCATACTTTATTATGGCAGCACTAGGAAAGCGGCTCTGGTAGCATAGTGGTTATGAGTTGGGCTGCTAATCTCTCTGTTAGCAGTTCAAAACTACCAGCTGTTCTGCAGGAGAAACATGAGGCTTTCTGCTCCTGTAAAGATTTACAGCCTCAGAAACCCTGTACAGGGTGGCTATGAGTCAGAACTGACGCCATGGCACATAACAACAACAACAGATAACCATGACAAGAATCACTTCCTGGATCTTGAGTGGATCTAGATAAACAATCAGGGATATTTCCTGGCCATGCTCTGCAATTGCAGACTCAATACAGAAATTTGAGGTGTGAAATTTGCAATCTAGAGTTTTATGACTTGTGTTTGACCTTTATTCAATAAAATTTAATACAGAACTTTATTTTGAGGGTAAGCCCAACTTTTCCATTTCTGTGATATTTTACTAATATTCTTTGAAAAACTTCTCTCTAAGATATTTGTTGTTATTAAGTACTGTAGAGTCAGTTCCAACTCATAGCACTTTTGAGCAGCAGCTGGTGGGTTTGAACTGCCAACCTTATGATTAGCTGTCCAGTACGTTTCCGACAGTACCACACCAGAAGTCCAAGAGAATGGACTATTTAAATTCACCACTTTAAATAAGTAATTATTATATTTCTTTTGGAGTCCTGATGTGGTACTGCAGGTTAATGAGCTGGACTGCAAGGTCAGTTTGAACTACAAAGTTGGTGGTTCAAGCTCACCAGCCACTCATGGGAAACTTTATACAGAGTCGCTAAGAGTTGGAACTGACTTGATGGCATTTAGCAACCTATTTTCTTTATTCATTTGATAATGATGATTATTAGATCATTGTATTCACAGTATTTAGTCTCAGCTATTAAATAGGATTATTACTTGTTGTTGTTGTGATGTGC